AGATGACCCAGTAGACTCCCAAGGGCTTAGTGTCACTGGCTGTGGTTGCAAGTGACGATCTTTGTGATAAGACACCAGACCTCACTTACTGTTGTCTGATGGAAAAATGACCTAAGTTAGAGACAAGGTCATGGACATTTTTTTAGCCCCAGGCTGACACCTTGTTCTTAGTTGCAGATAACAGAAACCATTTTAGTTAAAGCAGAAAGGGATTGATTAAGGGTAAGGCTAGCACAGAATCACCAGGAAAGCTGAAGAAAGACTCCAGGCCAGCTTCCAAGCATGTCTCTGCAAACTGCATTGTGAAACTGGGCCACCGTGGAAGCCTCTGATAAAATCGTGAAGGTGCAGCCATCACTGCAATTTCCAAGAGCCATGCCACCTCTGCCACATTCTGCCCCAGGGAAACAATGCCTTGAGCCTTGACATTCTTCTAGAACATAGCTCTGAATCAGTCTCATGCTACTGATTGTGAAAGTGTTAGTTGCTCAGTTGTGTCTGACTCTTTGCAACCCCGTGGACTGTAGACCACCAGGCTCCTATGTCCGTGGAAAGAATTTTCACAGGCAAGAATACTGGAATGAGTTGCCATTCCCTTCTCCAGGGGGCCTTCCTGACCCAGGGATCAAACCTGGGTCTCCTGCTTTGCAGGCTGATTCAGTACCTTCTGAGCCTCCAGGGAAGCTACTGACTGGTTGAACTTAAATTACATGGAGGACCCTAGCTACAAAGGAGTCTGGGAAATGTAGTTTTTAGCTTTCTTGTCTCTGTAGTGCAAATGTGCAGAGATAACAAAGACAGATTTCACATGTTTCAGATACTCCTCATTTGGAAAGGGAAATAGATATATAAACAGATGATTATAATACAATGATATCTGCTCTAATTAAGAGAAAATGTATAGAATAACCTGAGAGTGAGCATTAGAAAGGATCAATATGAGTTTGCCAAGTGAGAAAGACATTGAAAAGAGTTGTAAAACATAAAGGAAACAGAAAAAGGAGAGTGATATTTTAGGATCTTCAGTGCCTCAGTTCAGTTTAGTCTCTCAATCGTGTTTGACTCTTTGCAACCCCGTGGACTGCAGCATGCCAGACCTTCCTGTCCATCACCAACTCCCAGAGTTTACTCAAATGCATGTCCATTGGGTCAGTGATGCCATCCAGTCATCTCATTCTCTGTCATCCCCTTCTCCTCCTGCCTTCAATCTTTCCCAGAATCAGGGTCTTTTCAAATGAGTTAGTTCCTCACATCAAGTTGTCAAAGTATTGGAGTTCCAGCTTCAGCATCAGTCCTTCCAATGAATATTCAGGACTGATTTCATTTAGGATGGACTGGTTGGGTCTCCTTGCAGTCCAAGGGACTCTCAAGAGTCTTCTCCAACATCATAGTTTAAAAGCATCAATTTTTGGGCGCTCAGCTTTGTTTATAGTCCAACTCTCACATCCATACATGACTACTGGAAAAACTATAGCCTTGACTAGATGGACCTTTGTTGGCAAAGTAGTGTCTCTGCTTTTTAATATGCTATCTAGGTTAGTCATAACTTTTCTTCCAGGGAGCAAGCATCTTTTAATTTCATGGCTGCAGTCACCATCTGTAGTGATTTTGGAGCCCCCAAAAATAAAGTCTGACACTGTTTCCACTGTTTCCCCATCTATTTCCCATGAAGTGATGGGACCAGATGCCATGATCTTCGTTTTCAGAATGTTGAGCTTTAAGCCAATTTTTTCACTCTCTTCTTTCACTTTCATCAAGAGGCTCTTTAGTTCTTCTTCACTTTCTGCCATAAGGGTGGTGTCATCTGCATATCTGAGGTTATTGATATTTCTCCCGGCAATCTTGATTTCAGCTTGTGCTTCATCCAACCTAGTGTTTCTCATGATGTACTCTGCATATACATTAATAAGCAGGGTGACAATACACAGCCTTGAGAGACTCCTTTCCTTATGTGGAACCAGTCTGTTGTTCCATGTACAGTTCTAACTGTTGCTTCCTGATCTGCATACAGATTTCTCAAGAGGCAGGTCAGATGGTCTGGTATTCCTAACTCTTGAAGAATTTTCCACAGTTTGTTGTGATCCACATAGTCAAAGGCTTTGGCATAGTCAATAAAGCAGAAGTAGATGTTTTTCTGGAACTCTTTTTCTTTTTTGATGATCCAACAGATGCTGGCAATTTGATCTCTGGTTCCTCTGACTTTTCTAAATCCAGCTTGAACATCTGGAAGTTCACAGTTCACATACTGTTGAAGCCTGGCCTGGAGTATTTTGAGCATTACTTTACGAAATCTGCTTAAATTCTTTTATAACATGAAAAGAGGGAGATGATTTATTTTGTATGGATAGGAATCAATTTGTTGTGTAAAATATTTTTAATATTCTAAAATATATTTAAAATGTCTTAAATGTATGATTATAACATTTAAAATTAAATTATAGTAAAATAATAAAGAACAAATATTTACAAATATAATCTTTTTTAAGTGTTAAATATGATGTTATATTTTAAATTATTTAAAATACAAGTTGTTTAAAAAGAAGCCAATTAATTGGATAAATATCTCAGTATTTCTAAAGCGGCACAGACATAAGTTCGTCTATAGAAGTTAGTGAGAATATATGTGAAATAGCTGCTGCCACGTTTTGGGAAAGTTTGTGGGAAATGCTCAAGGACTGACTTTATTTTAAATCCTTGGTTGTGGCTTGCAGGGTCCAGCTGCAGTCCTGGGGCTCCGCCCTGACCTCTGGCTCTCCAGGACTAGCTGTAGAGAGGCCTCTGCCCCAAGTTTGAGGCTGAGCCTGTAGATTTCTTGATTGTGGGCTCTCCTGGGATCCCACCCTCACAGCTTCATTAGCCCTGGTGTCTTCCGATGACCTCTAGAAAGAGAGGCCATGAGGAGAGGGTACAGCTGGCCTCTTCCCTGGAGGCCCCTCTGCCTTTGTGGCCGAGTCTGGCGGGGAACTACCGTGTTTTATCTTGGTGGTCACCCTCCCCGCCCATCCCCACCCCACCCCAGTCAGCAGATGTTCCCTGGGCTGGTGTGAACTCTCAGGTGTGGCTGTAGGAGGTCAGAGGGCCCTTTCCAGGGATCACCAACTGTCCTTATAAAGTGGGCAGACAAGAGCATCTTGACTGTATGCACTGCTTCATGACCCAACTTTGCCACCTGCCACCTACACGGCTCTGGGCAAGTGTGTTAACCCCCAGAGCCTGCTCTGGATGCTTGTGATGACCACTTATCTGGTGGGCTAGAGATACAGATTGGAAGAGGATATTATGTTTAATGAAATAAGTAAGACAAAGACTAATACTATATGGTGTCACTTATATGTGGAATCTGAAAAGTAATACAGGGCTTCCTAGGTGGCTCAGTGGTAAAGAATCTGCCCACCAATGCAGGAGACACAAGAGACGGGTTTGATCCTTGGATCGGGAAGATCTCCTGGAAGAGGAGATGGCAACCCACTCCAGTATTTTTGCTTGGAAAATCCCATGGCCAGAGGAGCCTAGCAGGCTACAGTTCATGGGGTCAGAAAGCATTGGACATGACTCAGTGACTAAACAGCAACAGAAAGTAATACAAGTGATTGTGCATTCAAAGTAAAAATAGAATCACAGACATGCTAAACAAACTTGTGGTTATCAAAGGGGAGAGGGGAGGGGGCAGAGATAAATTAGGAATATGGGATTAGCTGGAATCAAGATGGCCGGGAGAAATATCAATAACCTCAGATATGCAGATGATACCACCCTTATGGCAGAAAGCGAAGAGGAACTAAAGAGCCTCTTGATGAAAGTGAAAGAGGAGAGTGAAAAAGAAATACTTTGGCCACCTCATGCGAAGAGTTGACTCATTGGAAAAGACCCTGATGCTGGGAGGGATTGGGGGCAGGAGGAGAAGGAGACGACAGAGGATGAGACGGCTGGATGGCGTCATCGACTGGATGGACATGAGTTTGAATAAACTCCGGGAGTTGGTGATGGACAGGGAGGCCTGGCGTGCTGTGATTCATGGGGTCAAAGAGTCGGACACGACTGAGTGAACTGAACTGAACTGATGGGATTAGCAGATATAAATGACTGTATACAAAATGGATAAGAAACAAGGAGATATTGTATAACCAGGGAATTATACCCATTATCTTGTAATCACCATGCTGTATATCTGAAGCTAACATAATACTATAAGTCAACTCTACTTCAATTAAAAAGGAAAAAAAATGAATACTTCCATGTGGAGTACTGGGCCCTGAACTTGGCCCGTGACCAGGGCTCAGCGGTGTTGGCTGAGGTTGGCATTGGTATTCTGCGTGAAGCTGCAGAAGGGACTGAGGTGGCTCAGGCTCCTCCACACTGACAGCACGGCCTGGAGCACCGTCAGTTCAGCTGCAGTTTTCTCAGCTGCCAAATGGGGAGGAAGAGCCTCACCTAGTCCCAGCGCGAGCATGAACGCCAATGAGCTAATGGAAGCAGAAATTCTTCTCACAGTAGGAAAGCAGCTTGTGCTTTCTCAGCTATGCTGTGGCTGTCACTCCTAGACACTTCCCCAGGAGGAGGAGAAAGGGGCAGGAGAGGGCAGGCCCGGCTGAAGGCCTGTAGCCTCGCTGACCGACTCCAGGGCCGCCTCCGTCAACGACTGGTCCCAGGAGGAGTGCGAATGAGGATGTATCCAGAGCATCCTCTTTCTCCTTCAAAGTCACCAGGTGGAACCAAGCCTGCTTCAAAATGTCATGATGTACTGAAACGGGTTCATGGCCTAAATGCTTATACTCCCAGGGTAGTAGGGGTAAAGAGAGTAATCAGCCAACCAGTGATTAAACCAGTGGGCCTGGAGGCAGACCGCCATCAGGTCATCTGCTGGGGAGGGCTGGTTTTCTCTATTATTTTGACAGGACACCACCCCTCTGCCCCCCACTCCTGCCATTGAGAGACCCAACAGGATCCTGGGAGTCTGCCTGCTTCTCTGCGTAGTAACCTCTGTCCCTGTTGGTTCCCAGGTACTTTGAATTTTACGAGGGCCCTTTTGAGTATAACTCCACAAGATGCCTGGAGCTGAGGCACGAGATCTTGGAAGTGAAGGTGCTCTCCATGTGAGTGTGGCTGGGTGGGTGGTGGGTGCTGGGCGGTACATGTTGGGGGCTGGCAGGGCAGGGGCTTGGGTGGGGGCATGGTCCAAGGAAATAGGACACTTGGTGGCTCATGACAGAGCAAGAATTAGGCCTGCTTCCCCAGGGCCTCTGGCGTTTGGAGAGCCCTGGAGGGCTGGACGTAGGGATGACTGTTTGTGTTTTACGAAAAATGTCAAGTTTGCAAGGTCACCTCTGGTGACTGCGTGTTCCAGTCCCCGGCTCAATTACCAGCCTCCACAATTATCATCACGGAGCTCTCTTATATAGAAATTGAAGAGGGCACAGGAGTGTGTGTCCTGAAATTCAGTACTTTGTGGCTTAAGCATTGCCCTCTTGCTATTGCCTTTTAAAAATTTTATATTCATTCATTGTTAAAATTATTATTTAAAGTATACACTTTTCAAGTGGTGCAAAAGGGTATAAAGTGAGAAGCCCCCTTTCCACAGACCTCCCCTCCCTCAGTCTCCTCCTCAGAAGCTACCCGTGTATCTTCATGCATCCTTCTAGAAAGTCCGCATAAACCAGCACCCAAATAGCAAGAGAACTGTGCCGGCTCCTCCCCACCCCAGTGTATCACTGTGGCTCTTTTACAACCTGTGCGAGGGAAGACACATCACATGCTGGACACTCACTCACTCACTCCCTCACAGTACTGCCAGGAATTGAGAGGAATCTGTGTCCTGTTAATCATGACAGGATGCATGTTGACTCGAAAACTGTTACCATTGACCCTTGAACAATGTGGGTTTGAACTGCACAGTTCCACTTAGAGGCAGATGTTTGTCAAGAGTAAGCTCTGCAGTGCTACTCGGTCTGAGGTTGGTTGAATCTGTGGATGCAGAGGAACTGTGGGCCTAGAGGGCTGCTCACAAGCCCTGTGCTATTCAAGGGGCAGCTGTACACCCAGATGTGGAAGAAATCGGGGCCAGGCAGTGCTGGGAGCTCATGTGGACTCAAGGGCCCCTGACAGGATCCTGGCACCACCATCGGGCCCACAGGCAGGAGCCGCTGTGCCTGTAGCCATTTGACATGATCTCGTGATCATGCGGGTCACTGAAAGAGCATGGGCCTTGGGGTCAGGCAGACTTGGGGTCCAAAGCCGATTTGGGCCTTAGCAGCTCTGCTTGTTTATACAAATTACTCAACCTCTCTGAGTCTTTCCTTTCCTATAAAAATGGAGCCACTATTGCCTACTTTTAGGTTGCAGTAAAGACTAACTGAAATAACATAAGTGAAAGCATTGTGTTGGCCAAAAAGTTCATTCAGGTTTTTCCATATGATGTCACAGATACGTAGCCCAGGAGTGCATGTCACAGCAGCACACATAATAGGTGCTCAATAAATGTGAATGTCGTCCCCACACCCCCGAACCTTTTCCTTTCTGGAGTTAGCAGCAGCAGCAGCAGCAGCAGCTTTGCTGACATTCACAGACTCCGTCAGCTTAGTCGTACAGGAAAGTTCCAGCGATAAGGCCAGGTGTCCAGCTGGGATCAGCGGCATTGTTCACGGTCCCTGTTCTGACCGAGGGTCTGGGGTTAAGGCCAGGTGTCCACCTGGGATCAGTGGCATTGTTCACAGCCCCTGTTCTGACCGAGGGTCTGGGGTTAAGGCCAGGTATCCAGCTGGGATCAGCGGCATTGTTCACGGTCCCTGTTCTGACCGAGGGCTTGAAGCTTGCAGAGGAAGCCCAGGAAGTGCTCCCTCTCTGTCCATCCCACCCAGCCCTGAGCAGACCGCACTGTGGAGGGGACAAGGAGTTAACTGGGCCAAGAGGATTCCAGACCAGGGGGACAGTGTGTGCAGAGGCCTGGGCCAGGAAGGGCCCGCTGTGTCCCAGCCTCTGAGAGCCGGCCTGAGGGGACACCGGAGCCGGGTCACTGGAGGGCAGGCAGGGCTGGGCCTTGTGAGTCCTGCAGTGCAGGCCAGGATCTAGAATTTTTCTCTGTCTAAGGGCCATGGGACCCGTGGGAAGGTGGGAGAGTAGGATGTGGTTGGCATTGGGTATGCTCCGCCGAGGAGCTGTGACTTAATGACAAAGACGGCTGCCTGGCCCCCTGTCGGGAGCCAAAGGTGTAAGCAGAGAGCCTGATCTTTTCTCAGAACTCCAAGATCTTAGGCCCTTAAGATGTCTCACCCTGAGAGCATAACAAGAGTTCACAAAGGGTGAATAATTAATTTTAAAAATTATGAGATGCAGTTTCTTCTGGCTACCTCAGGATCCAGACAGGAGGCCTGAGAGACCCTGCAAATGGGCCATCCTTCTGTTCCAGCCCACCCCCTACCCCATGTATTTCCTGTGTGTTTGCCTGAGTCCCTGTATCGTTTTGCTGAGGCTGCCACCACACAGTACCCCCGACCAGGGGGCTTAGACAACAGAACTTTACTTCCTCATGGCTCTGGAGGCTGAAGGTCTGAGATCGAGGTGCCAGCAGATTCGTTTCTCCTGAGGCCTCTCTCCTTGGCTGATACGTGGCCGTCTTCTCTCTCTGTCTTGCAGGGTCTTCCCTCTGTACCCATGTCCTAATTTCCTCTTCTTATAAGGACATCACTTGTAATGGCCTAGGGCCCACCCTGGTGACGTCATTTGAGCTTAACCACCTCTTTAAAGACCTTATCTCCAAATGGAGTCACATTCTGAGATCTTGGGGTTTGGGGCTTCAGCATAGGAATTTCAAAGAAGCTATAACACAGTCCATAATAGTCCTATCAGAGGGACCATGTTAGAAGTTCCTCGGGCCCTTAAGGGGATTTCCTCATAACTCAGTCTTGTAAAGAATCTGCCTACAATGCAAGAGACTCGGGTTTCATCCCTGGGTCGGGAAGATGCCCTGGAGAAGGAAATGGCAACCCACTCCAGTATTCTCGCCTGGATAATCCCATGGACAGAAGAGCCTGGCAGGCTACAGTCCATGGGGTCGTGAGACTCGGCCATGAGTTAGTGACTAAACCATCATCACCACTGGACCCTTCGTTTCAAGCCTGAATCTCCAACATTGTGGGGTGTGATGGAACCTCATCCCCGCCCCACACCATCTGTGCTCACCCTCTGTCTCTTGTCAGGAACTCGTGTTAGTGGGCATGGGGCCTCTGTGCGTTTGGCTCTATGTGTCTCTGCCTTTGGGGTACCCTCTCTGGTCTCCAGCTGATGACCTCTGGGCCTTGTCCCTCCTGTCTCTTTCATGTCAGTTGCCCTCCATATGGTTCCCTGGCCCTGGAGTCTGGGCCCTTGTGCTGGGGGAAACAGGCTGTTTTTCAGGGAGCAATAAGCCCAGTGACTCCTTTCCTGAGTCCTCAAGCTGAGGTCAGTGAGCTCCCCCAGAACTGAAATCAGAAAAGCGAGAGACTGGCCTCTGATCTGAGTGGTTCTGATGCCACCTGGGCACCTGTGGGCTTCACTGTGGTCCAGCCCAGAGGCAAGAGCAGTGCTCACAGTGGAGCCCCTGAGTCATCGGGAAAAGGTTAAACCTCCATCTGCCAATGGAAGGGGCTGGACGGATGTGCCCAGAGGCCCTTCCGGTACATGCATGTCAGCTGGCATTCCATCTGAGGAGACAGGGCAGTGTGTGATTCACCTGGGAATGATTCTGATACAAAATTGCTCCAATCAATGGTAAAAATCAGTCAACTGAAAAACTCCCACATGGTAAGGGCCTCATTCCCTGACAATGCCAGATACAATGAGGAATGACTCTATGATGATTTGTTGCAAAATCACATTGTCCCTGATACTTGTAAAAATTATCTATGCTTTATTTTAGCCATTCTAGGGCCTCTTTAGTTTTCAACCAATTGATGCCTGCGCTCACACACAGACAGTGCCATGCATGCCTGGGACCTCACGCTGGGTCTCTCCTGCCACCCTTTCCCCATCTTTCTGGGCTGGGGAACCCTGACAGAGCCTTGCAGAGACCAGGAGAGAGGCTGGGAGCAGGGACGGCAGCTTTCTGGGCTGGGACGTTCCTTTGCGCCCATGCTTCTCTGAGTCTTGTTGCCTGACCCTGCCCAGGCTCTGGACGTGTCTGTTAGATGAATGAGTAGGTGGATGAGGCCTAGGTGGGAGCAGAAGAGGCCATGGAGTGAAAGGGGAAGAAAGAAGGAGGAGGACGAGGGGATAGTCATCATCTCCTGCACACGGCTGGGAAAATCAAGTAGCTACCAAAGTTTATAGTAATAAAAAGTGACAGTTTCTGCCCACACCCTCTCCCCCAGCCCTGCTCCTTACAACTCTTGGCTGTTTCTTCTGGGAGTCACCTCGTACCTCTCAGTCCTGTGCATGCCACGGATGCCACATTTAGTGTCCACTGATGTCCTACTTTGGTGGATGAGGATTCCACTCCCATAGCCAGCCCAAGCACTCCCTCCACTCCACTTTTCCCAGTTGAGGGGTCCTGCTATTTTCAGTTCTTCTATCTATAGATTGCCTAGATAACCTATTTCTTGTTCTACCAAATACTGGCAGTATATCTGTTGGTTCTGTACTTTGTTAAGATGAAGGTATCTGGCTTTAGTCATCCATGAGTTTACCTTGAGAATGTCAAGGCTGATGACATTTACATGCTATATGTAACTATAGCAAGCCTTTCTTGGGTTTTCTCTATGGGCTGACTCTAAAATTTGAAGATCAGAAAATAGTGACTCCCATCGCCTTTCTTGTACATTTCCACCTCCCCCACCACTTTTTTTCCTGGAGCTTCTAGTCATCTTTTTCCTTTTGAACACGTTGTCTCTATCATGCCCCATTTTTTCCCCCTGCCTCTACATCAACCAGGCATTCCCCCAAGGGTTTCCCTTCATTCTCTTTGTCCATCCTGGACAGGCTGCTCTCTGGGTAGGTCACACACAGTTGTCACTTCCCTTTTCAGCCCTGTAGATTGGATTCACCCATATAGCTGCTTCTTTCTTGGTTTACGCCTCCATTTGCTGCTGCCCATGTTCAGGTAAATTCCCCCAAACTGGTGGATAATGGTTGAGTCCTTCTGTGTACAAATAATTCTCTTATTTGTTGGCTTGGTGGCATTGGCATTTTAGGTGAAGATTATTCATCCCCAGAATGCTGAAGACCTTCTCCATCATCTTCTAGTGTCCAGGGCTGTGTGAGCACATGGTACTAGTTTTTCCTTTGGATGTGAACTGTTTTCTTCTGTCTGAGTCTTTACAGAGCATGACCGTTCTGGAATATCAGAACCTGGGCCTCAGGATGCACACTCATGGAGACCTATTATTCCAGAGCTCACTCCAAACTCTTGAATTTTCTCTTGGGTTTCTTTATATTTCCTCCTCCAGTTTTCCTCCCCTCTTCTTTCTGGTACCTCTAAGAGTTGTATACTTCTAGATTGCTCCTTGAATAGCTTTTCATCTCATCTTTTCTCTCTTTGCCTTTTGCTTCTACTTGCTGAGAAAATTCCTTGACTTCATCTTCCAACTTTTCTAATGAACTTCCCCCCGCCCCCCAGAAGCTCTTTCTTTTTAGATTATTCTCAGGACAATCATCTTTTTTGTTCCTCTTCTGGAAAATAGTCATGTATTGGGAGAAAGGGGTTAAGTACCTGGGATCAACCTTTCATCTTTAAGGTAAAGATGATCTCTGCATTTGTAAAGCAATTTAAAAAATATTTTATACATATTATCTCATTTGATCTTTCTGACAACCTTTGAGATCAGCAGGGCAGAAGTTATTATATCCGTATTACAGATAAAGCAGCTGAGTCTCAGAGAGATTAAATGACTTGTTTGAGGTCATACTGCCAGTTGGGAATGAAACCAGGATTCTAGGCTGGGTGTCCAGGCCCAGATCCTGGTCTAGTGTGTGACAAGGTCTTTGGAGGTGTGGAGAATGGGGCCTAGACACTGGTAAGAGTTGAATGTGGGACCCCAGCCTGCAGTGTCACCAGGGTTGTGCTTCCAGGAGGTGTTTGAAGCATTGGCCATGCAGGATACTATGCTGGGGACCTGTGGGTGACAGGGAGCAAGGGAGGGCGGCAGTGTGAGTGAGGGTGCCACTGCGTAATGGCCCCTCTCCTTCGATGCCACACGAGCTCAAGAGGCAAGAGCTGCTGTGGGAGGTTTGGGAAAGCTGGAAGGAAGATGTCAGGATGAGAGTAAGAGTTCCTTCTGGCCGGCTAAAGCTGCAGGGCAGGTTCCTGCCCCAGGGCCTTTGCACTCACTTTTCTCTCTGGAATACTCCTTTCCTAGATATTTGTGTGGCTCACTACTGCATAAGTTCAGTTCTTTGTGTATGGTTCCCCTCTTCAGGGAAGCCTTCCTGGATCAACTCATCTGAAGCACTCACTTTTTGATCCCTGCTTCATTTTTCTTTTTGAAAATTTTTTTTTCTTTTTTTGATTGAAGTATAGTTGGTATACAATATTATATGTTACAGATATACAATACAGTGATACACAAATTTTAAAAGTTATACACCACTTCTAGTTATTATACAGGATTGTCTTTATTCCCTGTGTTGAACACTATATTATCCTTGTAGCCTGTTACTTCATATTTCTTTGTAGCACTTAGCACTCCCTGACATGGCATTATATGTCTGAGTTTGTTTGTTTTTTTGGCTGTGATAAGAATACTTAACATGAGACCTACCCTCTTGACAAAATTTTAAGTGTGCAGCCCAGTATTGTCAACTGATAGCACTAAGTTTTATAGCAAATCTCTAGAACTTACTCATCTTATATAACTGAAACTTTATAACAACCTTCATTACTCCTTCCCGGAGCCCCTGGTATCTATCATTCTTCTGTTTCTATAAGAGTGACTATTTTAGTTACTTCATGCAAGTAGAATCATGCAGTATTTGTCCTTCAGCGACCAGCTTTTTCACTGAGGATAATGTCCTCCAGATTCATCCAAGTTATCACATGTGGCAAGATTTTCTTCTTTTTGAAGGCTTCATAATATTTCATTGTATGTATAGAATACCTTTTCTTTATCCATTCATTTATCAGTGAACATTTAGATTGTTTCCATATCCTAGTTATTCTGAATGATGCTGCAATGCAAATAGGGGTGTAAGCATTTCTTTAAAATTCTGATTTCAGTTCTTTCGGATATATATCCAGAAGTGGGATTGCTGAACTATATTGTATTTCTATTATTAATTTTTTGAGGAATCTCCATACTATTTTCCCTAGTAGCCATACCATTTTACATTCCCACTAACAGTATAGGAGGGTTCCCTTTTCCCTGTATCCTTGCCAATGCTTGTCATCTTTTTTTTTTTTTTTGATAATAGCCATTCTAAGAAGTATGATGTGATATTGTACTATGGTCTTGATTTGCATTTCCATGATGATTATTGGTATTGACCACTTGTATGTCTTCTTTGTAGAAATGCCTTTTCAAGTCCTTTCCCCAATTAAAAATTAGGTTCTTTGGTTCTTTGCTGTTGCTTTGTAGCAGTTCTTATGTATTTGGTATATTAACCCCTTATCAGATATGTGGTTTGCAAATATTTTCTCCTGTTCAGTAGGTTGTCTTTTTACTCTGTTGATTATTTCCTATGCTGTGCAGAGCTTTCCAGTTTGATGGAGTCCCACTTGTCTATTTTTGCTTTTATTGTTTGTGATTTTGGTGTAGCATCTCACATATCTGCTTCCCATGTGCAAAGTCTATGTAGGCAGGGAGTTGTTTTGTTCACCACAGTATCTCTAGATCCTACATATTGAGGAATTCAATAACATTTATAGATTTTATTTGAACTCAGGCTCATTGATTCATTCATTAATTTATTGATGTACTCAACAAATATTTACTGCTCATCTGCTATGAGCCTTAGCACTGGAGACACAGTCAGGCATTATGCCCAGGCCCAGTATTTACTATTTAGTGGGAATGGTCAGGCAGAAGTAAAGAGAAGCTATAGGTTTTACAGAAAGGGAAGTGCTGGCGGCTGCGAGTGAACATCATCACGACAGCTCAGTTTAACAAAAGGTTGTCCAGACAAAAGTTTTCTCCTCTCTTCCTCTCTGTCACTGAAAATTGTGATCTGCCCTTGGGAAAAGAGAAAGAGAGGGGCATTGCACCCTTGCAATGAGTCCTACTGTGTCCTGAGTGCAGTGTGGGGTTATCTACAGACCTTAAGAAAGTGATCTCACACCCTCTATAGACAGATGTTCCTGGGAGAACTGTGCAGGCCTGTTTAGTGGGCATTTGAGGAAGGATGTTTTGAAATGTACCCAGATTCGTTTTGATCACATATAGTAAGACACACGGACACACAAGACTGTCATGAAGGAGCATGTTCTTGTGCTCACAGATCCTTAGAGACAGGAGGCATGGCGTGCCACTCAGGGATGCATGGGGAAGCACCAGGACTGGTCAGGAGGCAGGAGGGGCAAGGGGAAAGCATGGGCGAGACCCTTTGTTGTGGTTTTCTTGGGAAGGAATGGACAAGGTGGGATAAAAAGGTTTAGGTTTGGCTAGTTTGCATGATTTCAGTGAGCTCGGTGCATAGGGACTGCCCCTGGTTTTCTGATCCCTAGCTCTGGGCTGATGAGGGCAGGGGGCTAGTGGCTCCATTCATAAAGGAGGTGGTTGAGGGTGTGGACTCTGGATTGGTTGGTGTGTGCATGGCAGGCAGGCTTGCTGGAGGGTGGTTTGCTATCTCTAGGAGTTCATCAGGCTCCAGATGCCAGAAAATCAAGAGTTTTGCAAATTATAAAATACAGTGAATACAAAGGACTAGCCCAGGACTTAGCATAAGGGGGAACAGGAAGGGAGCGTGTTCGGGGATGGTGACACTGTGTCCAGCCTGGCCCTTTCATGCACTCTCTGTCTTCCACTCCCAAGGGTGAAACAGTCGGAGCTGTTCGACAGGTGGAAGAGCCTCCAGATGTGCAAATGGGCGATGAACATCTCCGAAGCCAACCAGTTCAAGTATCTATGACTCATCTGTCCTCCCCAGCCCTTCCGCGCGTGTGGTTCTCCTGACCACCTCTTCAAATCTCCCTCATCCTGCCAGGCCAGATGCCCCCAGGGGCATCTTCCCCGGTGCTGGCCTTGATTGGGCTTTGGAATCTGGAAGTGGGGAGGTTCTGACTCAGCACACAGGCTGAGGCTGGCATCTTGCGGGGCACTGTCCCCCATGTTCCTGCCCTTAGTTCTGGCAGCACCGGTGCGTGGTCGGTGCTGTCGTCTCCAGCACAGCCCCTGACCATGAGGTCTCCAGCTGGCCTGTGCATTAAGGCTCCTTACACATCTTCCGCGGCTTCACCCTGCTCCCCACCCAGCCCCTGGGGCAGCTGCTTGAACTCAGCAGTGCTCTCCATCTCAGAGCACTTGGGCTCCTAGAGCCTGGACCAGACATTGGAGCACAGCTATACCTTATTCTTGAGCTGCTCTCTAACTGAAATGGACAGATTGAAAGCTCCCAGGAGGCAAGAGCTATATCTTAGTGTTCTCCTGTCTTTGAGAGCTAAGAAGCTAATAGATGTCCAGTCTCTGTGATTAGTGGTGAGCTGTAGGGTCTGCTCTATTCTAAAATTCTGGGGGTTTCTGGCATGCTTTTAGTATAAGAAGACCTTATGGAATGGAATTGACATGATCCTGGGAATGTGTATATAAACTGGATTTCAGCAACTTGGGTCGTAGTTTGAATGTGCTGAGGAGCCATCTGCATGAAGGAATCCTACATGGGAAGCTGTGAAAAGCAAACAACACTGAGTGTTTTGTATTTTCTGTATAAGTCATTTCTTCCAGTTTGTTGCAGTTCTGGGCCAAGTCTAAAGGCAGCTTTAAGTGGCATGTTTCAGAAATGTGCTGCAGGTACCAGCAGCCCCTAACCAGAGGCCTCCCCGAGACTGCAGAAGCCCAGCTGAGGCTCAGCAGTCATTTGCAGAGACCCACAAATCATAGATGTAGAATGCAGGGAAAAGGTCCAAGATCTGTGTTGCCGATGCAGCCCCAATTTCACCTTTAGAATGAAGCCTTATTGCGGGTGATGCGTGACAGGGAGGCCCAAGCCCACCAAGGGCATGCTGATGAGCACTGGATGGGGTTGGGAGGTCATGAGATGCCAGAGGATGTTGTCCAGGCTGAGAGCGGCACAGAAACGTCATCAGTGGGAGTCACATATCTAAGGAAATAACGAAGCCACAGGGAGATGATGTGGCAAGAGAAAAACTGGGATACGTGTGGGAGCCGTTGGCAGGGACTAGCCAGCACTATCTGGGGGGAGGCTCTGAGAGCTGAGCCCCTTCTGGCGGTGGGGGGGATGGTTCCAGGTGTGGGAGAGAGAAATGGCATCAGGTCCTGCCATGCGCTAAATGGAAAAAGCTTCGAGGCAAGGTGGTCTTCCCCCTTTGCTCTCATTACAAGCTCACTGATGACCAGATTCTAAACTGAGGTGTAAGAACCTGGTGCAGTGGGGTGGGGTGGGGGAATGTGCTGGAACATAGGCGTGAGCATTCCAGTTATAGGAGAGGAATCCTGTAACAGAGGCCCTCCCCTCCCCTACTGCTTGCAAATGGACACACTTGATCCTGGTTTATATATCAGTCACTCGTGAGCTTGGTTAATATGAGTCAGTCTCCCTCACTGGGATACTCACCAGTGGGCTGACAAGATGGACCAGCCAGATGCTGCTTTGAAATGCTGACTGACGGCTCCTGCCTCACCAGGCCTCTGGCCTTCTCTCTGGAAAGCCTCAGTCACAGCCCTCCCCAGGAAAGACTACTCCCTATGGCCAGCAGCCAACTGAGCTCCCCTGTGAAGTCTCTGCAAGAGATAGAGTCACAAAAAATAATGTGTATACCCTTCTTGGGCTTCAGAAGCTTAGAGTCACAGGATTACAGAGGGTCAGAAAAGCCAGCCTTGCATTCTACAGATGAGGAAACTGAGGCAGAGAGGGGAGCAGACCTACCCCAAGCCCCACAGCTGGTGAAGGCAGAGCAGAAACTAGAAGCCAGGCCTCTCAATGCCAGGCTGGCATCCAGGTTTCCATCCCAGACCTTCAGCATGGACTTTCCAGAAAGCTTGTCCTCAGCTTTGGTTAGTAGTCGTCATCCGGGCTCCATGGAGACGGTGTTCCCATTCTGCCCAGGGCCGCCAGGAGGCTGGGTATAACTGTGCCCAGAACCAGTGTTGGGGGGAGGAAGTGTGTCATGGCCCACTGCTGCTGTTCTTGGAGAAAGTGGATCCTCGTCCTCTCATAGCCCCCAAAGTGAGACGGGGACAGCTGGCATCCTTTGTCAAATCCAGCCCCTCTGTAGCCAGGGTGGAACTCAGGTCCCCAGAATAGGGGAGCAGGATGTGTCTAGGATCTGACCCCATCACCAAGTCTTGCAGGCACACTTGCGAGAATGAAGTGCCAGGCAGATCACCAGCTGCAGAGAAGAGAAAACCATGCTTCTCTGGCCTGGCTGGCTCCCAAGCCTGCCTCATCAGCCCCACGCTCCCTCGGAGGCTATTTTTTAAGCCTGCTTGCATTGTCTGAACATTAACCCTTCTGTAGCTCATGTTTGAGTGTTTTTGTCAGTGAAAACCACAGGGCTTTTTTTTTTTTTTAAATCATGAACTCCCGAAACCTTTTGAAAGCCAAGTTCCACTTTCTGCAAGAAGTCACCCAGTATCAACCCTCCATCCAATATCTGACCCTTCCCTATTCTTGGGACAGTTTCTAAGTCACTGAAATGGCTCATTTCTGTTGACCATGCGTGTGTTGCTTTTTGACCATCAGGCGGGGTTAGCCTCACCTAGAGTCAGTTATGGGGGCCAAGAACCGAGGAAGCGCTCCCATCCCTGGGTTTTCCCTGAGAGCTGGGTAAGGAAGTGTTTCTAGGAAGCAGTAGAAGGCTTGGCGGCTCTTGTGAAAGCTGACGTGGGAACGCTTCACCCAGGGTTGGCAGGACCTGGTTGCTGACACCCATGTGTCTGACATTATGTAGAATCCTGACAGGCAGGGTCCTGGCCACCCAGGGACTTTCATTCAAGTGAAGAAGGAGTTGACAGGATAAAGCAAGTGGTACCCAGTCTGTGCTCTGGGACTCTGGAGGGCAGTCTGGCCAGTGGAGACAGGGCAGCTGGGAGATTATGGAGGGAGACCTGGCTCGACCCTGAAAGGCTCGGGCATTGGGAGGGGTTCTGAAGACAGGGGACACATGAACAGGGGTGAGAAGGGGTGGGTGGGAAAGGATGGTGCTCCCTGGCCTCCCCGAAGGGCCTCACTTCTGAGACCCCTCTGTTCTCTGGGAGGCTCTGCTCTGCCCCGCGTCATTGTCCTCTTCCTGTTCATCTCCTGCCCGGCAGGTCCACTCTGTCCAGGTGCTGCAATGCCCCCTCCTTCCTCTTCACCACCCAGAAGAACACGCCCCTGGGGACGAAGCTCAAGTACGAGGTGGATACTAGCGGCATCTACCACATCAACCAAGAGATCTTCCGCATGTTTCCCAAGGTGCTGCTTCGGGCAGGGTAGTCTGGGTGGGCATGGAGTGACCCCATGGGGTCTTCTGTGGCCATGCCCATGTGGCATGGCAATCACTCTGCTGTTCCCCTATACCCAGTGGTCCTGGGCTTGGCTGGCCAGTCTCTTAGACTCAGTAGACAGTCCTCTGGGGTTCCTGGGTGTCCTGAGTATCTGAATGCCAACTGGCTGTTATTTGAATGACTTTTGGCAAGAAAGTGGTTGTAAAATTTTGATTATTGCCTTGCTTGCAAAGAACATCCTGAAGCTATCTGGGTGGAAGATTAATCACTTGCTCCCCACCCGAGGGAGGCACAAGAGCACAAACATACATACACAGGTTGTGTGCACAAGAAATCACAACCATACAAAGCAAGGCACTGCAAGGATGACCTCGGAGTGGCTCACCTTGGGCAGTCCTTTTGTCTTGCCAGGCTTCACTCTCCCTGTCTGTAACACTGGAGTTTGGACTTGGTGTAGTTTTATCTTCTTAGAACGGAAAACCTAAAATAAATATCAGACACTTAAACAGGAGAGACATTTATTATTATTTTTTCCTTTACACGCAAGAAGCCTGGAGAGAGGCCGTTCATTCAGGGCTGGTGCATTTCCCCCACCCTGGCCAGGGGGACCACAGAATGAGGGACCCATATGAGTCAAGGGCTCAGACCACAGAACCCAGGCATAGGTATTCACTTCCGGCCTGATCGTTGCACCAGACTCTTGGAGAAGGGACTCTGCTGTATGTTCAGCTCTTCTGATAGCTACCTCCTGAAGGGGACGGTTCCATGCATGTTTACAGGCACTTCCTGGAGCGCGCTGGCCCAGGGCAGGGCGTAGTGGGTCCCATTTGTAGACCTGCTGGTGTGGCTGGGGGTCAGGGGGTGTGTTCAGGTCTTGCTGGATGAAATGTGAAGGACGGGGCTGCCCGGCTTCCAGGACAGCTAATGAAAGAAAGCCCGGGGTTCCCTGCATTCTTGATGTGCACACTAGAGTGCATACTGGTATGGCTGGGCCTGGGGGTGGATAGGGCAGCGCTAGGGGAGAAGCCGGGGCTGGAGAGGTGTCAGACACACCCTCCCACTGCAGTGCTGGAGGATGACGGGATGTGAGCCATCTTCATGAGGTGGGTCTTTCAAGGCCTGGAACATAAGGCTGGTGACAGCAGGTGAAGTTGAAGGTAATGCCAGTGGGTGACACACAGCTCGGTTATGACATATGGATCCAAGGAGGGCCACGGGGAAGGGCTGGAAAGGGAGCAGGGGTGGCCAAATGTGCAGGCCATATGGTCTCTGTCACAGCCACTCACCTTTATCATTCTAGCATGAAGCAGCCACAGACAGGAGTAAGCAAAGGACTGTGGCTGGGTCCCAACGACACTTTAATTCCTGTTCAGTTCAGTTCAGTTCAGTCGCTCAGTCGTGTCCGACTCTTTGCAACCCCACGAATCACAGCATGCCAGGCCTCCCTGTCCATCACCAACTCCCGGAGTTTANTCAGGCTCCTACCCTGACCCTGAAGATTCTGACTCCATGGTTCTGGGATGGAGCCAAGGATGTATCCTTCCAGAAAGTACCCAGGGGGTTTCTGATTTTCACAAGTGTGGGAAACACTGGCATAAAACATAGAACACCTTTGGTCATCTCTCCAAAGATGGCTTTGTTTTATTCTCTCTCTGAGCAAAGTCAAACAGTGCAGTTTCCCACACTGGCCATGAGATGTTCTTGTTTCCTCTGTCTTAGTCCTGGGAGCCTGTCCCTCCAGGGAAAATGTGCCAAGAAGGACAGTCTCCCACAGACGGGTACAGTGCCTCCTTTAGAGTTAGCCTAATTCCTGGAGATCCCGTTGAATTTTCAATCCTGCTGAAAATCGTGGGATCTTCCACGATGCCCGTCTGGCAGTTGGTCTCAGTGGAAGCCCCAGGTGCTGACCGGGGCTGCTCTCACTCAGGGCCGGCCAGCTGGGGTGAGCTAGGAGGAAAGCCACCCAGCGGTCTCTGGGTGTGAGGGCCATCCCATAATAAGCACCTGATGCCCTCAGCCTTGGGCCAGGTATGGTGAGCTTTTCATCCACACCAGTGGCTGTCTATGTGTGGGGCAGGGAGGTGGGGATATCTGCCAATGTCTGGAGATGCTTTTGGCTTCCCTAGTAGCTCAGCTGGTAAAGAATCTGCCTGCAACATAGGAGATCCCGGTTTGATTCCTGGGTTGGGAAGATCCACTGGAGAAGGGATAGGCTACCCACTCCAATATTCTTGGGCTTCCCTGGTTGCTCAGCTGGTAAAGAATCTGCCTGCCATGGGGGAGACCTGGGTTCAATCAGATGCATTTGGTCATCCTGACTGGGGTGTACAAGGCCAGAGATACTGCTAAGCTTCCTGCAGTGGGCAGTCAGCCCCACAGCAAGGAATGAGAGTGAACGTGAAAGTCGCTCACTCTGGTCCAAAATATCAGTACTGCCAAGCTGAGCAATTTCTGCTTTACATCATCTCACTGAATCGCAGGAAATATACATTACTATCCTGATTTTTTAAATTACAAAATTTGATTCCTAACAAATTTTACAAAAATTACAAAACCAAGTCACTGAGAGTTCAAAAAACCTTGCCCATGGTTCCCTCAACTCACTGTGATGCAAAACCAGGATTGAGTTGGGTCCTTTAACTGGGGTGCTCAATCCTAGTTTTCCCCAGCCATTCCCAGTTTGACTGAATCTAAGTCCTGCATCCCAAGCAAAGTGCCCCAGTCCTGGGCCAAATGGGATGGTTGGTCACCCCTTGATTCCAGGTCTACATTCCTGCCCTGAGCCTGCCTGGTCCCACCTGCCTCGGGTTGCCTCAAGGCCTAGACTGGGGACATGGCAGAACCAGGTCTTTTAATCAGGCCAGTATTTGCTTTTTCCTGCCTACTTGCCTGTGGTCCCCTGGAAGGCAGGCCTAGGGAGCCTTTGTTTGGGGCAGACAGTGCCCCAACCCAGGCAACCCTGCCAGCTGAGGTGTGATCAGGTCAGAGTGCTGTGGGATACTCCTTCCCAGTGCCCCATGGGTGCATCATCACCAGGGTAAGTCCTGGGCTCCCCTGTGCTCAACACGGTTTTCTCTGCAGAGATCCCAGGGTCGCTGGCTCTCACTGCTCCCCTGAAGTGGCTTTGCTTGCTCACCTCCAGTCTCTTGTCCCTGCTTCTGCCAAGTCCTGGCATCTGTGCTGGTCTATATGACCTTTTTGTCCTAGTTCTGTGCCCTCCGCATGGAGCTGAAAGGCTTCAGGGCCAGATTTAGGGCCCTGGTCCCTGCTGTCATCCCCCAGAAAGTCTGCATTAACCACTGGCAAGAATACTGGAGTGGGTTGCCATGCCCTTCTCCCGGGGAATCTTCCTGATCCAGGGATCAAACCTGGGTCTTCTGCATTGCAGGCAGATTCTTTACCATTTAAGCACCTGGGAAGCATAAAATATGTGGACTAGAAGTCAGAGAAGCTGAGTTTCAGACGCTGGGGAAAGCAAAGGCAAACAGGGTAGACATAACCTGTACGCTCTTATTTGAAACTGGGGACTTCCGGGGTTTATTGAAAAATGTCACGGAGACCTAGCTTCCGGTTCCAGCTCACTCGTAATTGCGTGTGGAACTGGGAAGGAGGCTTTTAATCTCTTTTCATCTGCAAAGTGGAACAGCCAAGTTTGACTGAATCTAAGTCCTGCATCCCAAGCAAAGTGCCCCAGTCCTGGGCCAAATGGGATGGTTGGTCACCCCTTGATTCCAGGTCTACATTCCTGCCCTGAGCCTGCCTGGTCCCACCTGCCTCGGGTTGCCTCAAGGCCTAGACTGGGGACATGGCAGAACCAGGTCTTTTAATCAGGCCAGTATTTGCTTTTTCCTGCCTACTTGCCTGTGGTCCCCTGGAAGGCAGGCCTAGGGAGCCTTTGTTTGGGGCAGACAGTGCCCCAACCCAGGCAACCCTGCCAGCTGAGGTGTGATCAGGTCAGAGTGCTGTGGGATGCTCCTTCCCAGTGCCCCATGGGTGCATCATCACCAGGGTAAGTCCTGGGCTCCCCTGTGCTCAACACGGTTTTCTCTGCAGAGATCCCAGGGTCGCTGGCTCTCACTGCTCCCCTGAAGTGGCTTTGCTTGCTCACCTCCAGTCTCTTGTCCCTGCTTCTGCCAAGTCCTGGCATCTGTGCTGGTCTATATGACCTTTTTGTCCTAGTTCTGTGCCCTCCGCATGGAGCTGAAAGGCTTCAGGGCCAGATTTAGGGCCCTGGTCCCTGCTGTCATCCCCCAGAAAGTCTGCATTAACCACTGGCAAGAATACTGGAGTGGGTTGCCATGCCCTTCTCCCGGGGAATCTTCCTGATCCAGGGATCAAACCTGGGTCTTCTGCATTGCAGGCAGATTCTTTACCATCTAAGCACCTGGGAAGCATAAAATATGTGGACTAGAAGTCAGAGAAGCTGAGTCTCAGACACTGGGGAAAGCAAAGGCAAGCAGGTAGACATAACCTGTACACTCTTATTTGAAACTGGGGACTTCCGGGGTTTATTGAAAAAGGTCGTGGAGACCTAGCTTCCGGTTCCAGCTCACTCGTAATTGCGTGTGGAACTGGGAAGGAGGCTTTTAATCTCTTTTCATCTGCAAAGTGGAACAGCCACTTCTCTCCCTTGTTCCGTACAAAGCTGGATGTGGGTACAGAGGGCAGAGGCACCAGGTGCCTCTGACAGCTCTGCCCCTGTCTCCCCAGGACATGCCCTACTACCGGTCCCAGTTTAAGAAGTGTGCGGTGGTGGGCAACGGGGGCATCCTGAAGAACAGCCGCTGCGGGAGAGAGATCAACAGTGCCGACTTTGTCTTCCGGTAGGAGTCACCTTGGGTCTGCACCTGCCCCTTCTACCCCCACACCCCTCCTCCTCCATGCCCACCCCTTCTGGTGCCCCATCCTACTAATACTGCCCTTTTAACCCCCACTTCCCACCCCTGCAAACCCTCATGCTCTGGGTTGTCCCTTCTCCCTTCAGCTCCGTCCTGTGCAAGGGGTCGAAACTGTCACGTCCTCAGTCTCCACATCTGTAAAATGGGAGCAAATGACATACCAGATATGAAGACACTGAGGACTCACAGGGGCATGCAGAGCTGTTAGTGAGGTCGTCTGGGCAGCTACCTCTCTGGTTGGGTTCCACTCTTCTGGAAGCATTGCTTATAACCAGGGTAGCCTTGTGGCTGACACCTTCACTGTGGCCTTACCTAAGTTAGACACCTGTCCATGTATTTCTTCTTCCTTATGTAAAACCCCCTCTTATCTCTTTGGGGATTCTAGCTTACCTCTTTGAGTCAAGAAGATAGCTTGAAAATAAGAGCTAAAGCGAACAAACTTGGGTTGAGGCTGCAATCATCTTATGGTTGGAGATCTACAACAATTAGGCCACTCAGGGTTGGTGAGGGAAGGGGCTGAACTTGCCCTCCTATGCCCAGGCCACGAAGATTCCACCCAGCTGGTTTCCCCTCTGTTCCTCGGCCCAAATGATCAGCATCCCTTTCATCCCCACACCCCAGCTCCCCAGCTCCCTCAAGAATGACTGACTACATGCAGTTGGGCCACTTTATCTCTTCTGCAGCTGCAACCTACCCCCCATCTCAGAGAAGTACACCATGGATGTAGGGGTGAAGACAGACGTGGTCACCGTGAACCCCAGCATCATCACAGAGAGGTCAGTAGCCCTCTTTCTAGACCGGTCCTCTCCAATACGGTAGCTATTCATCACGCATGGCCACTGGGCACCATCCAGATTGAGATGTGCCATCTCTAAGTGCAAAATGCACCCTTGCTCTAAAAGATATACTATGAAAAAGACGGTGAATCACACCTCATTACAGTTTTATATGGATTATATATTAAAATGGTAGTATGGGGGAATATCAGGTTAAACAAAATCTATTGTAAAAATTAATTTCAGCTAATCCTTTCTACTTATCTAAATGTGCTTCCTAGAACATTTAAAGTTACATTTGTGGCCTGCCTGATGTTTCTCTTGACAGCGCTGGTCTAGACAATCTTCCCCTAGAGATGAATCAGAGAGCTTTCCAGCTGTAGGACAGCTCCCTACAGGGAGTGTCCATGTGACACTGGGGGGAAACCTCTGGCAAGGACCTCAAGCCACCGCCTCCCTGGGCGGGTCCCCTCCTGGGATCTGTCTGGGAAGCCTGGGGGAGGGGTTAAGGTGTTAAAAGTCCAAAGGGGGGCACATTCACACCTGCAGGTCAGGAGAAGGGTAAGAGGAGGCGGAGGTGGTAAATGGGGCCAGATGCCCAGGAACCTTTACAGAGTCAGCATCCAGTGAGGGGTGAGATGAGTCAGCTGGCAGGAGGGCTGTTTGATGTAGGGAGAAGGTTAGGGAGGGGCTGTGGGGAAGGAAGGGCTCCGGGGGCCAGCGGCTGGCTTGGTGTCCATCCCCGGGGAACTTGGTGAAGGCAGGCCAGGGGGGTGTCCCGGGGGCTCTAGGGAAGGCCTCCCTCCTTCACTTCCCCTCTGAGCCCGCCCGGGCACCCTCATCCTTGTGGGTTAAGGATTACCCTCCTCCGCCAGCCGCCCCCACCCCCGCCCCCGCCGCAGCCACACACCAGGTACTTGTCCCTTTGGGTCGAGATTGCTGTCTCCTGCACCCACTCAGAAAGCTAGAACTGTGCCGGAGGAAGGTGGACATTCATCTGCTGAGTGACTGAGATAAAAGGAGCCGAGGGGGTGGGGGCGGCCTTGAGAGACCCCCCAGTCCTTTGCGAAGAGCCCAGGGAGCAGGGGTGGGGCCAGCCAGGGCCCGGGGCCCGTCTCACGCTGCGCGCACGCCCCGCCAGGTTCCACAAGCTGGAGAAGTGGCGGCGGCCCTTCTACCGCGTGCTGCAGCTATACGAGAACGCGTCGGTGCTGCTGCCCGCCTTCTACAACACGCGCAACACCGACGTGTCCATCCGCGTCAAGTACGTGCTGGACGACTTCCAGTCGCCGCAGGCCGTCTACTACTTCCACCCGCAGTACCTGGCCAACGTGTCGCGCTACTGGCTCAGCCTCGGCGTGCGCGCCAAGCGCATCAGCACCGGCCTCATCCTGGCCACGGCGGCGCTCGAGCTCTGTGAGGAGGTGCACCTGTTCGGCTTCTGGGCCTTCCCCATGAACCCCTCGGGCCTGTACATCACCCACCACTACTACGACAACGTCAAGCCCCGCCCCGGCTTCCACGCCATGCCCTCGGAGATCTTCAACTTCCTGCACCTGCATAGCCGCGGCATCCTGCGCGTGCACACGGGCACCTGCAGCTGCTGCTGAGGGCGGCGCCGGCCTTCCGCCGGCTCCCCCGGCACACGGGGACCCCCGGCGCACCGAGCCACGCTCTTCCTCGCCGGCCCTCAGGAGCGAAGGCCTGGCACTGAGGTTGGCACTCTCTTGGATGCTCAGCTTCAGACTTGGGTCCTGTGGGCTCTGGGAGGCAGGGATGCGGGCCAGGCAGACACATCTCTCTTCGCACCGCCCCACCTCCCCGCCCCGGCCACACCTCAAGATGGGGGCCCTGGGGATCGCAAGGGAATCAAGCACATTTCCACTCAGTTTTAGCATCTGAGAGAGCACAAACCGTATGGCCTCTTTGCAGCTAAAGGAAGTCCCTACTGGGAACAGAAAAGATGGAGACAGAACATGTGAGGACAGTTTAGATCTAACTCAGACTTTTGAGTTCCTGACTCTTATTCCCAGGCCTCAGCCATGAATTGTGGTCTAGAATCTCAGAGCTAAAAGGTTAACAGAACGGCCAGACCTTCCTGTGAGGACAGTGGCTCAGAGAGGTCCAGGGATTATTAACTGAGTTTCCACCAATCAACTGAGTAAGTGGCGCTGTGAGATCTGATGCAAGGGCTGTGGATTAGGATCTTCGCTCAGACACTGTCACCCAAGGAGAGCCATCTCCTTCAAACACATCCTCAGACACACACGTCTTGGTGCCTCCAGGTTCAATCCTGTGTTTGACCTTTTGATGAGAAGGAAATAAACCAGACCAGCCATTTGCACTAAGGTTTTCAAGCCAACGTTATCGACTCAATAAGTGCTTAGCGACTTGCTTCCTCTTCTGTCTCCCTATTTTCAGCTCTGTTTTAACCAGGAGTTATTTATAAGATCCATCCCTCTGTGTGTTCCTGAATACTGCAGTTCCTGCTGTATCGTGTTCCTGAATTGGAACCGTAAGGCTCTGGACTGGAAAGCGCTGACATGTGACTCGTGAGTTTAGCAACGGAAGTTGAGTCGTGGCCTCCGACACCAGCATCTCTGAGGTCTTACTGTGAAGGCGGGGTTTCCCGCAGTATGCAGCATGCTGGCCTTCACTGTGAGTGGATCCACAGGGCCTGTGCTTTGGGAAGTCAGCTGTTCCTAGGCTGAAAGGGCTTCACGTGTCGTTTCACATCGCTTTCCTCCCCCTGTGGTACTCCCACCATGAATGCGGCTGTGCCTGATACACACTGTTGGTGAATTGCCTTAGAATTTAGCTTTGTGGAACCGTAGAAGGTTAGTGCTGGAGGATCTTCAGCCTGCTCCTCCTTTTTCTCCCTTCCTGCTCTCTCCCCTCCTTCCCCTAAACATTTCCAGAAGCCTATTTTGCTTTGGTTTGGGGTGAGGCTTGGGAAGACATGATGACAAAGACAGGTTCTGTCTTCCAGAAATGGAGGGCAGACCAGAGACAAATTCTGGCTCCTCATGCTGGGTGTAATGAGAAGGAGGAGGGATGGTGAGAGCTCCACACACAGGGAGCAGGACCTTTCGTCTGATCACCTCATTTTACAGGCAGAGCAGTAGGCCCAGCTGGTGAGAGACCACAGCACACAGGCCCTGTCCCGGGTCCCCAGGCTCCCCATCAAGGCCAGAACCCCTTCCTCTTGCTTGGGTTTCATGTTGGTGGGGCCATTATGGAACGAGTGCTCCATGCACAACACTGTTCTAGGTGCTGGCCTTGGTTCTGAGCTCCCGTCCTCACGGGGGAAACCCTGGGCTGTTCTGAGCCTATCTGCTTGTCTGCAGTGCAAGGAAGTAGCCAGTGAACCAAAGTAGACCCAAGGATGTGGTGAACCAGGGAACACCACCGAGGACAGTGGATGATTTGCTTTCTTGGGCTCTGCCTGTTTCTCCAAGGAAGGAGCATCTGAGACAGATTCCAGTTAACTGAGGTTTCCAGCCACTTGTTTGTGGTTAGTTGGGCCCCATTCTTGAAACTACAGAATGTTAGACCTGGAAGGCTCGTAAAGACCACTTTGTCCCCCTTAAGGAAGGAGGTCCAGAACAGGGAGGTGACCTGGCTCAGATCATGCCAGGGGCTCTACTGAGTGCATGCAGTGGACGGAACCTTGGTGAGTCAGACACCAGGGTTCCCACAGCCAAGGGTGTCTGCCCCAACCAGGGCCCTCATAGGAATTGGGGATGGAGCATCACAACCCATCCATGTAGGAGCTGGACTCCTTGCTTTTGGTCCTGTTGAAGTCTGAGGGTCTTAGGGCAGTCCCTTCTCTTTCTTAGGTCTCCATCGCCTCATCTCTACAACCAGAAGCTTAGAAAATATCCCTAGGGTCTCTGTAATCTTTAATTTTATTGTTTTTGTAAGTATTCATGATGTATGGATCTAAGCCATAAATAATATTTATTGTTGTTAATAGCTAAGATTTCCTGCACGCTCATTCTGTATCAAGTCCTGCACTCGGCGCTTTCTTTGCATTATCTCCTGTGATCACCACAAGACCCCTTGGGGTAAGCAGGCTCCATTGGGGAGACAGAGGCTCAGAGTCATTTGGTGTCTTGCCGATGGCCAGACACCCAGTAGAGGAAACTGCACCCAGGTCTTGTAGAAAGCTGAAGCCTGCGCTCCAAACCTCCGTCTTTGCCACTTCCTGACCAGTGTCCCCAGGGTTGGCACAAGAGAGAATCCTTGTTCCAGAAGGACTGAGAGGCCGCTGCAGGGTGGTGCTGGGCCCTGCTCTAGGGACAGTGCTCGGAGACTGGCATGGGTTCAGAAGGGAGTCTGCTTGTAGCTGCACCCCGCCCCAACCCTGGCCACAGCAGATGCGCCCACAGTGCAGTGAAGGGAGGGGAGCGGAGGCCACATTTTGCAGAAGGAGTCCACATTAAATGATGCCGTGTTGGAGGACTTGCCCAAGGTCACATGGCCAGCTAGTGACTCAACTGGGACTCAGTCTCCTAACTTCCACACTACACTTTTCTCCTACAGCCAGTGTTTGTAGGAAAAGCACAGTTTCAAAGGCTCAGAAGACCTGGGCACTGGCTCAGGAAGCCCCCCACCCCATGTACCTCAAAGCTCTGCCCCCATCCCACCATGCAGTGCAGACAGCTAGTTATATATAATATCCTTATGTGAGAAAAATCAGTTCCCCAAACAAAACAACCATCGTGTCTTCCTTTGTGCTAAGCCCACTGCTCCAGGCTTCCCAGGGGGCTCGGGTAGTAAAGAATCTGCCTCCAATGCAGAAAACCCAAGTTCAATCCCTGGGTTGGGAAGATACCTTGGAGAAGGGAATGGCAACCCACTCCAGTATTCTTGCCTGGAGAATCCCATGGACAGAGGAGCCTGGCAGGCTACAGTCCATGGGGTTGCAAAGAGTCAGACACAGCCGAGTGACTAACACTTTTACTTTCACCAGGCTTGAAAGGCAGTCAAAACAAGTAAACGACTCCATGCTTAGTCAAGCAAAAAGGAAGGTGGCTCAAGGTCATATGCAACCTCTGAGACCATTTTGGCAATGCCACTGTGGCAGCTCTGCCCACTAATCGCCTGGTCTTGTAGACAGTCGATCGCCCTTGATTCTGCTGAGTGTAGTGAGGAGGTGAGGGCAGAGCTACACATAGCTGGCTTCAGCCAGGTATTCAGCAAATCATTACTGAGCACTCATTTTGTGCGGGGCATTTGGCTAGGGGCCTTTGAGCTAGTGATGAGCAGAGTGTTAGCCCCAGCCCTCCTGGAGCTTATGGTCTGGTGGGCATGTCCAGATGCTGAACTGAGTCCCCCAGGCACGTGTACTGAGCTGGCAAGTCTGGGCTCAGGGTCAGGTATCGCGAGAGGAGCACCAGGCCTTACAGGCGTCGGTCCTGAATTCTGAAGTTTGGCAGAATGATTGCAATTGCTAAAGCAGTAGATCCATGCCAGGCTTCATTCCTCAACATCCATGTGACATGTGACAGGGGTGAGAGGCTTCACTGGTCTTTTGAGTCTTCTCTCCCTTTTTTTTTTGGTAAGGAACCACTTTACCCTGACTTTCCTCCTGCCTCTCTGAATGCTCCTTCTCAGACTCCTTTGTTGACTCATCTTTTGTGAAGCTTCCTCAGGGTTCTCTTCTCTTACTAGGAGTGTTCCTTCAGAAATTGCATCTGTTCACAGCCTCAAACCTCTCCTGTCCTTGCATCTTACACCCCTTACTGGGAGGCCAGTTCTCCTTTGGAGCATCAGAAACACGCTCACTGTGGCTGTCTGAATGCCTGTACCTGCTCAGCATCTCAGCTGGTACAGTTAAAACCTGCTTAGTGTGCCCTCAACTAGCACAGTTAAAAGGACAATCTAGATTCAAAGTCACATCCCCCCACTTACTGGTGACTTTGGGGGAACTGCCAACGCCCTCTGGAGGCTCTGACGCATTATCTGAGGTTTAGGCCAGGACACCAGCCATGGAATAGGGTTGCGCGATGCCTAGCACAGTGCTGACACAAACTAGACACCCAGAGAACAGGTTCCTTCTTCCTCCTTTCTTCCCCCACTGAATGGCTCTATCTCATCACTGGCCCCTCAGTCCCAAACCTGGGTCACTCTTGGCTCTCCTTCCTCCTTCGCTTTCTGTCTGTTTGTTCACCAGGTCGTATCAATTCCAACTCATAAATATCCCTTGAATTCATTCCCTCCATACATTCCTTCTGCCACTGCCCTAACTCAGGCCCTCTGATTGATCATTCTGCTTCTAGAGAATTACCTTCTGGAAACACCTTTGGTGGAGTCCATTGCCTTCTTATACCACATAGTCCGGATTCCTTTACCCAGACATGCAGGCGTTGTCCCAAGCTGGCTCACTCAGCTTCCCAGAGACCCTCCTGCCACCACCATCCCGCCAGGACTCCTCCAGGGGCTTAGCTTCGCACGAGCTGTTGGAAATGCCTGAAATGGCCCTTACCTCCTCCCTCCTTCCCTTACCGCACCACTTGTACAGGTAATGTCAGCTGAGGGTCCCCACCTCTTCCCCTCTGTGAGCCTGGGCCGAGCACTCTGCGCTTCTGCAGGAACCATCACTGACTCCTGTTAGGACGTCCTCACAGCACACCACCACGGGTGCGCCTATGATGCTTCTAGAGAATTACCTTCTGGAAACACCTTTGGTGGAGTCCATTGCCTTCTTATACCACATAGTCCGGATTCCTTTACCCAGACATGCAGGCATTGTCCCAAGCTGGCTCACTCACCTTCCCAGAGACCCTCCTGCCACCACCATCCCGCCAGGACTCCTCCAGGGGCTGTAGCTTCGCACGAGCTGTTGGAAATGCCTGAAATGGCCCTTACCTCCTCCCTCCTTCCCTTACCGCACCACTGGTACAGGTAATGTCAGCTGAGGGTCCCCACCTCTTCCCTTCTGTGAGCCTGGGCCGAGCACTCTGCGCTTCTGCAGGAACCATCACTGACTCCTGTTAGGACGTCCTCACAGCACACCACCACGGGTGCGCCTATGCCCTTGGCCGAGGGCTGTCCTTTCCCTGGAGAAGGCACTGTATCTGGTTCTTCTTGGTGTCCCCAGTACTGGCACAGAGCCATCTGTTAACTATAACAGTGGACTCTCTGATTAGCCAGTGTGTTCCAGTGGTTCAGGAGACCCCACTAATTAACTGAGTAACATGTAATTGTCAGCTTAGGCGAGTCCTCCACTGATTATTATTATTATTTTTGCCTGGTACTTTGCATGTGGGAAGCATTGCGCTGTACAGACTCCCCCACCTGCCCTTGGGGAGCTTGGGGCGCAGGTCCCTGTTGTGGTTGCTTGCTGGCTCCATCACCTGATCTCTGCTGCCTTCTCTTTGCCTGCTTCCATTATAATCTTGCATTGAATCCCTGGGTCGGGAAGATCCCCTGGAGAAGGGAATGGCAACCCACTTAAGTATTCTTGCCTTGAGAATTCTGTGGACAGAGGAGCCTGGTGGGCTACAGTTCATGGGGTCACAAAGAGTCGGACACGACCAAGCGACTAACACACTATAATAATCTTCCCCCTCATCTGCTTCTTGCCTAGTCACCAACTCTCTCTAGTTTAAGCAAAAGATGGAAAGATTTTCTTTTTCCCTTCCCTCCTGCAAAACCACAGAGATTTGTCAGAATCTTAAATCGCTGTATTGAAGTACAGACAGTGTAGCAGTATACGAGGGGCTAATCAATAATGTCTCAAGAACAAGTGGAAAATGCTGTATTTATTGGCTGGAAAACAAATGAACTGAGCTTTGCAAAAGGTCTGCTCCAGAGGTCCAGTGGTAGGTCAAGAGCTTGGGGGTCTCTCTGTGGGAGGTGGATGGTGTGGCTCTGAGTTGAGCACATAACCTGTCCTCTCTCCCGGCAACCCGGGCACCCTTCTAAGGAGGAGGCTGACTGTGCCTTATGACCAGATGAGGCCAGGCTTGGGGTGTGCCGATGCCTGGGGTGTGCCCTGTTCTCTTGTTCTTTAGAGGGCTGGTCAAGCCAGGCCAGTCTAAGGAGGTTGATTCAATCCTACAGGGCGCTGTGATAGAGTGATAAGTTCTTCAAGGCATAGACTGTAGATCGCTTGTGTCAGAATCCCTTAAGTGCTTGTTAAACCCCCTGCCTCCAGACTCAGAACCTGCGGGAGGGCGGTGATGTGGGGCAATGAGCATTGTGACTCCAAGACCAGCTGGGTCTCCAGGTCATCCTGGGGCCCATATCTGCTGGAGAACTGGGCTCTGCATGCTTGTGGGTCAGTGGCTACTGCCAGGTGAGTGATGGTGTCTGGCTTGAAATTCAGACTGGAGTCTTAAGTGATAAAGAAGAAAAAACAAGCATAGACTTTGATGTGTTTTAGAAACATGAATATAAAACATAATCCACTATTAAATTCACAACAGAAATTGACTGCTTAGGAATCTCTTACATTTATGAAATCTGTTTTGGCCTGGACATTATCAGTGATTTTTCTATTTTTCAGTTGTGGGTAACATATACATAAGATTTACCACCTTAGCCATTTTTAAGTGTACAGTTCAGTAGTGTTAAGGTGTGTAGCCAATCTCCAGACTGTTTTTTTGCTGTTGGTATTGCAAAACTAAAACTCTATACCCATTAAAGGACAGCTCCTCATTTCCCCCTCCGCCAGCTCCTGGCAGCCATCAGCCTTTCTGTCTCTGTGGATTTGACTACTCGAGGTCCCTCACATAAATGGAATCATAACGTGTCTGATGTTTTGGTGACTGGCTTATTTCATATAGAATCTCTTAGGTATAATCTGTTCTCAGACGACTTGAACTGGTTTCAGTGTCCCTATGATAGGATTCTGATTTTAATTTTTGCCTAGAACAGTTGTCCAGGGCTATTATCTGTTCCCTGGCTTCTGGCAACCTCAGCATCTTTGCTGAGGGTCAGAGCAGACCCGATCTTGCTTTGCTAGCTTGACTCAGCTGTCCTGGCCAGCCAGTGTCCTGAGAGGCAATAGCTCTGCTCAGCTTCTACAAGCCTATAGATATTTCTCCTGCATGGTCTCTTCTGAGAACCTGCTTTTCTTTTTTTAACAAGAGAGAGAGGGAGAGAGACATCCATACATTACCATGACTTAGCTCTTGGCACAAAAGCCAGAAATCAGTGACTGTCTCTCTTTGCAGTAGGGAGATGGTTTCCTTGGCAACCAAGTAACTCATTTCCTTCAACTAAATGACTTGTTCAACTTTAGGGTAAAAGTGTTGTTTCCTCTAGAATCGTGGTCCTATTTTTAAGTGTACAGTTCAGTAGTGTTAAGGTGTGTAGCCAATCTCCAGACTGTTTTTTTGCTGTTGGTATTGCAAAACTAAAACTCTATACCCATTAAAGGACAGCTCCTCGTTTCCCCCTCCGCCAGCTCCTGGCAGCCATCAGCCTTTCTGTCTCTGTGGATTTGACTACTTGAGGTCCCTCACATAAATGGAATCATAGCGTGTCTGATGTTTTGGTGACTGGCTTATTTCATATAGAATCTCTTAGGTATAATCTGTTCTCAGACGACTTGAACTGGTTTCAGTGTCCCTATGATAGGATTCTGATTTTAATTTTTGCCTAGAACAGTTGTCCAGGGCTATTATCTGTTCCCTGGCTTCTGGCAACCTCAGCATCTTTGCTGAGGGTCAGAGCAGACCCGATCTTGCTTTGCTAGCTTGACTCAGCTGTCCTGGCCAGCCAGTGTCCTGAGAGGCAATAGCTCTGCTCAGCTTCTACAAGCCTATAGATATTTCTCCTGCATGGTCTCTTCTGAGAACCTGCTTTTCTTTTTTTAACAAGAGAGAGAGGGAGAGAGACATCCATACATTACCATGACTTAGCTCTTGGCACAAAAGCCAGAAATCAGTGACTGTCTCTCTTTGCAGTAGGGAGATGGTTTCCTTGGCAACCAAGTAACTCATTTCCTTCAACTAAATGACTTGTTCAACTTTAGGGTAAAAGTGTTGTTTCCTCTAGAATCGTGGTCCTTGACCTTGTGTTCACATTGAAGTCACCCAGGAATCTTTATAAAGCAACCCCATGCCAGCTCCTCATCTTTCCAGAGAATCTGATTCACTTGGCCTGGGGACAAGGGCCCCATATTCTTATTTTTAAAAATCTCTTTTAAGTGAATCTACTGCACAGAGGTGAGGGTCTCTGTCTTGGCGACACTTTGGGTTCATCTGGAGAGCTTTAAGAGCTACTTGTGCCTGGACTTTGCCCCCAGAAGTTCTGATCCAGTTGGTCTGAGGCATGACCTGGGTGGGAGGGCTTTTCTGACTCTCCAGATGACCCTACTATGCGGCCGAGACTGAGAGCCACTGTTCTAGCCCGGCTTCTCCCAAACTTGAAACTGTGCAGAATCACTCTGAGAGCTCGCTGGTTCCTGGGCCCCTCCCCGGAGTCTGATTTGGTGAGGCTGGCAGGGAGCTTCCTTGCTGCTTCCTAAGTGATGCTGAGGCTGGTCCTGGGACCCACACTTTGAGGAGCACTGCTCTGCCTAATGTCTTATAACTGGCTCAGCCCTACTCTGCTGGCATTTGTTTCCTGGTTAGTGGTTGGGAGACTTGATTCAGGCTTGAGACTTCTTAAAGTTACCAAGCAGCTCTTTTTCTGAACATTTTCAACCTTTAAATAGACATTACGAAATCTTTTTAAAGCAAAGTTAACTAGATTTCCTCTCCCAGGGTTAGGAGGCTCGGCATGTGCTTGAATTAAGATTCATCTGTTCCTGGAGTAGGGATGCATTTGGGGATTAGTGCTAAGGGGCTGGAGTCTCTGGAGTTGGTGACCAGCCTGTGTCTGGGTGAGGGTCTCCCCGTGATGAGTGCTGGGATAAGATCAGGGCACCACAGTGCTCTCTTGAACACAAAGCTGGGGCTGGTGCTCTGCCCACCATGCCTATGGAAAACAAACCAGGTGGTGATGAGGCAGCATCCCACAGACTTGGGCTGATGTGAGCCAGGGTTCACACCTGCCTTATGCTCCTCCTTTCTTTCCCACCTTCTGTTGGAAAAGGCTCAAGTTGAAACCAGCGAGCTAGTGCTGAGATCCTGCCTCAGTCTCTTCTGCCTCCAACTAGAGGCCAGTCCCCTGCCCCTTCCTTCTGAAGATACCCATAGTCGTGTGGCCCCAGCGAGCCCTTTATCACTGTGGCAGCTCACAATTTCACATTCAGCTACAAAATGTATGAGCAACCTTGAACATCTTAAAGATTTGTTAAAGGAGGAAATAATTGCTATTTTTTTTCTGAAACAAGGTCAAAGCACACCTCACTTCCCAGGGCCACTTACCCAGTAAGTTCACTCAGCCTCAGGCAGTTGGGGACTCTGGTGAAGGAGAATTAATTTTGAGCCCCTGTAGTAGATGCTATAAAGCTCTGTATCAAAGACCAAACATCTTGCTAACAGCAAATCCCTCACGGCATTCATGGAATTTAATTTTAAATTCAATTCCAGTGAACTTGATTCTGGTTTCTAATAATAAAGCAAATTAAGAGAATGACAACAGGTGCTAGATTTAGCAAGAAGCGGCAGCTAATAGACTAATATAATGGCATTAAAAAGACCAAAGCTATACATCTCAGAAAATACCAAGTGATCTGATGCTATTTAGTGCGGGGGCCAATATGTAGTAACAACCCCAAGGGCAACAAATAACCCCTCATAGCAGCCCATCCTGTGGTGTCCACAGCCACGCAGAGGTATGAAAATGCCCAAACAGCATTCAGTAGACTGTGTTTAAGGAGGCAGAGAAGTGCTTTATCCACTTGGAATTATTTTCATCCCCAAGCACTTGAAACACATTCATCGAAATCTTGGTGCTTAAAGGATTAGCCCTCAGTTATCTTGAAGTTCAGGTTGGTGAAGTTCAAGTTCATTATCTGATCATACAGGATTCATGAGCTGGGTAAGCTCTTTGAGACTTAGTTTCTCTCTGACATTTGCCGCGCCCCCCTCCCCCGCCCCCACCGCAAGGTGGAGGGTGAAGGACACCCCTTCGGCCGTCCTGCTTTACAGGGAATGTGCAGGGTTGGTGGTGGTGGCCGGTGGTGGCCAGGTGTCCTCGGCTTCCGACTGTGGTGTCTCGACTGCACGTGGGAGGGGATCTGGATCTCAGCTGGGGCCAGGGCTGTCTCTGCAGTGACTCTGCCTGGATTTATCTGTGAATTTAAGAATAGGCCTGTTTGTTCGTCTTCCCGTGAAAGTGAACACTTCTGCTTTCTACACACCTTCATCACCCATTTTCTCACCAGCCCTCGCTGTGTTCCTAGGAGGAGGGAAAGGCAGTGAGCGGCCTGCAGACTGGACTGAGGCCGGGAAAGATGACAGAGGTGTGTCCTGGGTCGCAAGGAATGCTGGTGGGACCCTGCTAGGGTACCCAAGCTCCCCAACGGGCAGGGGGAGGTGGCCCTAACTTATAAGCTCTTTGAGACTTAGTTTCTCTCTGACATTTGCCGCGCCCCCCTCCCCCGCCCCCACCGCAAGGTGGAGGGTGAAGGACACCCCTTCGGCCATCCTGCTTTACAGGGAATGTGCAGGGTTGGTGGTGGTGGCCGGTGGTGGCCAGGCGTCCTCGGCTTCCGACTGTGGTGTCTCTACTGCACGTGGGAGGGGATCTGGATCTCGGCTGGGCCAGGGCTGTCTCTGCAGTGACTCTGCCTGGATTTATCTGTGAACTTAAGAATAGGCCTGTTTGTTTGTCTTCCTGTGAAAGTGAACACTTCTGCTTTCTACACACCTTCATCACCCATTTTCTCACCAGCCCTCGCTGTGTTCCTAGGAGGAGGGAAAGGCAGTGAGCGGCCTGCAGACTGGACTGAGGCCGGGAAAGATGACAGAGGTGTGTCCTGGGTCGCAAGGAATGCTGGTGGGACCCTGCTAGGGTACCCAAGCTCCCCAACGGGCAGGGGGAGGTGGCCCTAACTTCCTCCCACCCTAAGGCCCTTCTGTTTTCTTCCCTCTGGGTTAGCCGGTTGCCTGGTGTCAGGTTCAGGCCTGGGGCTTACCCCTGGTCACATACCCTGCCCAGCATCTGTGGGGAGGGTCCTCTTTGGTATTCGTTCCTCTCTGGGCCCCCAGCATTGGGAGCTATACCTGGTGGGGTGAGAGAGTGGCAGTTTTACTTGGCAGAGGATCAGCCAAGGCCACAGGCCTGAGCACAGCAGGCGTGAGGAGGTGGTTGGCAGTTGATCCAGTGGTGCCCCCCGTTGCTGTGCTTGTTTGTGGGGGGCTGGGGGTGTCCCGAGTGACAGCTCCTGCCAGCCTCCCTGCCCCTCCTCCACAGGACCCTCAGCCTCTGCTGGGGCTGGCTTCTGAGCAAGTCACTCTTCCCAAGTTTTTTTGGGGGGCAGGTGGTCCTCCCTGAGGCTTCCATACTCTGCACACATGTTTTAGGGGTGCAACAGGGTCTTTGAGGCCTGCCAATTCCCTTTCTGGACCCAACTAACCTCTCTTCAGAAAGCCATAACTCTTCTTCAAAGCTGTATTGTGTAAACTGTGAAATATATGTAAATGTGTATGTATTTTTTAAACTCACACGTTAACTCAATGCGCGTACAAGAAGTCGTCCACTGCTACAGTTTGGAGTCGAACCTCTGCCACCCGGCTGCTCAAGTGAAGGCAGGACAGATGATGGGGGTCCACGAGGGAGCTGTGGAAACCTCCTCCCTACAGCCACATGCTCCCAGGCTCAATGTCGGTTTCCAGGAGCTCACGCGAAGGCAGCCAGTGACGTGCTCCCGAGGGGCTGGCGGCGGCGACTCGCCCCTGTGTGGCCTCCTGTGTGTGAAGACAAAGTGGCCTTGCGGGTGTGACCTCCACATGCTCCTCAAACCCATCCCGCCGTGCTTTCCTCTCCCAAGAGCCGCATCACGCTGCACTGCGCTCCATAGAGCCTTTCCCCCTGGAGAAGAAAAGGGAGGCTGAGATGTCGTTTGCTGGGCTGCACAGAAACTCAGTCTGGACGTGGAGCTGGAGCATTGCTTTTTTAAAAAAAAAAAATCCCTCTCTTGCTCTGGTTGATTTGCTCCCTCCGTTTGTCCTGGAGAGAAACGCTCTGTGCCCCTCCGGAGTGTTGGGAAGATGAGGTTGCAGTCATTATTTTCATGCAAATTTTGCTGAGGAGCAGGGGTTCATAGAAACTCTTGCAGCCTCATTCTAGCTTGTGTGCGGCTCTCCTTGAGTGATCCTGAAGTGGTGACTGTGACCTAACGCCTGAGAATGTAATCAGGGTAATTTGTATCTGTCACTGTGTTTGAAAAGCCCTCAATTCCACCCAATAAAACCAGTCAAGTGGCTCATCTAGCTCAGATTTCTCTGGCTGTGGCCTTGTGTGTGTGCATGTCTGGGGACTGGGCTGGACCAGGCTGATGCTGCACAGCTCAGCGCGGGGAGGAGGCCGGCTCTGGGAGGAAGGCACGGCTGCCCGGGGCTCATCTTTGGGCACCGCTGGCCTCTCTTTGTCTGGCAAGAGTATCAATCTAAGTAGGGGGACTTTGGAAGGGCTCAGAGACCAGACCCAGACCAAGTCGGGTGGAATGCTGAATTGACGGTATACAGGGAGCAGAAGGACAAAAAGAGAGGACTGCAGACCTCCTCTAAGGAAGGAGGGTCCCCTGGGGCTGGCGGGGCAGGGGGAAGGAGAGAGGGGTGGGCTGGGATGGGGGAAGATAGGATCTGAGTTGTGCTAACACCTAGAAACAGACCTGTTAGCTAAAAAGACTTGTTTTTCTTTAAGCAAACTTGCTCTGTCAAGGTCTGGAGTCACAGCAAAGGAATTACCCTTTCATTAAAAAAAAAAAATTGTTCTTTCAATGCTGCTATCCATGAGTGTGTTTGGAGTAGGATTATGTTAAATAAATTTAAAAAAAAATTCTCGTACAAACTGGCTGGGTCTGGCCTGCCTTATGAGATGTAGATAAGACTGTTTGGATTTCACAAATACGCATTTTGGAGAAGTGCAAAACCTCTCCTCTGATTTCTGCAAGCTCTCAGGGGCTGATATTTTCCTGACCCCCTCACTCTCTAGACTTTAGAGCTTTTGAGCATGTTTCTGTTTTATGTCCCTTAATCACGTAGATTATATGCAGACCTTCCCTTGACATCGATGATCATACAATGCATTCCAGAGTGATGTGGAGAAGATGGGAAAGGGATGGACAACATTCCAAGCAAGAAATCTCAAACGTAACGTTGGGTGTCCTCTGGCTAACCCACTGGCCAGCCTCCCAGTGGGAATATTTCATGTGGTCCTAGCCCATCTCTTTGGCTCAACCTCTCCTTGCAGTTTTTTGGCCTCCTATTCTGACTCCCCAGCTCTCTATCAATGGAGAACACATTTCTACTTTTCTATTTGCATTTGTTTAAACATTCTCTGTGTGCTCGGTCTCCTGCAGAGCCTGGAGCTCAGCTCACCTTTTACCTCCCCCCCCCAAAAAGAATTTCCATACCAGCTGAAAGATATTTAAACTCTCCTTATTACCGTTGTAAAATGCCAAACGCTCAAACAAGCAATGGTGGAACCTAAGGGTTAGCCCTCAGACCTGAGTACTGTCTGTTATAGGAAGAAAAAAAGCTGAGGGTCAAGGAAATAGGACTTCAGTATGTATTTTTGAATAAATGCGTAAATGGACCAATGAGCTGGGGGGACAGACGTTGATTGTAGTTCATTTATTTAATAAATAGATTCATGCTATTTGTCACTTTGTTCCTTCATTGAACAATCATTTCTTGCACCCCTACTTTGGGCCAGGTGACTTGTGGATTTGGGAATACAAAGGTGAACAAATGCATGTGCCATCTCTGCATTTACAGGACATAGAGTCTGGCCAGAGCAATAGAGGCAACCAAAAACTCCACAGTTCAAAGTTTAACTATAGACAGTGCTTCTAAGGAGCATGTGCTATTGCAGGATGTTCAGCACATTTCCCTGACCCAAGGATGAGCCCAAAGAGCACTCCACTGGAGCAGAGACAACTGAGATGAGAGCTGGAGGATAAGGAAGGGTTAACTGGGGGAAAGGTAAAGTTGTAGGAGAAGAAAGTCCAGATAAAGGGTCCTGGATGGGGAGAAAGCTTGGGACCCTGGGGAAGGCTTTTGCAAGGGTAGGGAGGGGGAGATAAGGCTAGAGGGCTGGATGGGGGCTTGACCCTGTGGGGAAGAGGTGGGCCAAGTTAATGATTTTGATTTTGATTCTAGAAGAATTAAGTAGACCTTGGAGGATTTTAAGGAGGAGGAGGACATGGTCAGATTAACATTGAAAAAATTCCTGAGAGATGTGGCCAGGTGGCAAGTAGGAAGACCTTGAGCTTACCTCCACCCTGGGGCACACCAAAATTACAACTATTTAGAGAGCAACTATCTATGAGTACAACCTGAAAACTAGCAGAAAAGATTTTCCGAAACTAAAAATATAAGAAGGAGCAATAACATGGGTGCGAGGGCAGAGATGAGTATAGTCAAGACCCACATCTCTGGATAGGTGACCCCCAAATGGAGGGGTGATAATCACAATTGCTGAGGTTCTCCCCAAGTTGTGAGGGGTTCAAGTCCCATACTGGGCTCCCCAATTCAACCCTAAATTGGGAAAACAAGCCCTCAGAATGCTGACTTTGAAGGCCACTGGGGCTGGCCTAGGGGAGAGCCGGAGGACTGTAGAAAACAGACTCCACTCTTAAAAGGTGCGCATAAAATCTTACATGATTTGAGTCTCAGCACAGAGGCAGTAATTTGAAAAGACCCTGGAGCAGACCCACTTGCTGAGCTGAAAGAGCCTCCTAGAGAGGCAGGAGGCCACTTGGACCTCCCCTCGAGATTGAGATGATGGCAACAACCATTGTGAGTTTGTCCTACTACAAAAACACTGGCACTTGCAAGCACCATTTTGGAGTCCTCTACCCGGCTTGGGTAAGTGCTGGGAGCTTACCCACCAGCAGGACAAGGCCCCATCCACTGGGGGCTGGCAACAACCCCAAGATCTCACTGAGTCACGCAGTTAACTGCCCTAGGACCTGGCCCTGCCCATCAGCAGGCTGGTTGCCACCATGCAAGGCAGATCCTTGCAGTCAACTGGCTGCCAGCGTCCAGACAAGCCAACCAGCATGCCCATAGTAGTTGATCCCACCACAAAGAAGGGTCCACACAGCAAACATGGGGGGCATCCCTACAGCATCTAGCTCTGGTGACTAGAGGGGAGCATGGTGCTGAGCCGCAGAGGCCATCTCCTACAGAAAGCTACTTCTCCAAGATTGGGAAACATAGCTGACCTGTTTAATACGTAGAAATAAGCACAGAGAATTAGGCAAAATGAAGGGAACAAGGGATATGTTCCCAATAAACTAATAAGGTAAAACCACAGAATAACATAGCAAAGTGGAGATAATCTGATATCTCCACATATCTGATAAAGAGTTTCAAGTAAAAACTAAAAATGCTCAATGAACTTGGGAGAAAAATGGATAAACAGTGAAAACTTTAACAGAATTAGAAAATATAAAGAAGAACCAAACAGAACTGAAGAATATAATAACTGGAATAAAAATATACCAGAAGGAATCAGAAGTACATTAGATGATATAGAGGAGTGGATTAGTGAACTGGAAGACAGAGCAGTGGAAATCATTCATGCTGAGCAGGAAAAAGAAAAACAATTTTTAAAAACATGAAGGTAGTTTAAGAGACCTATGAGATAACATCAAGCATGCTGACTTTATAGGGGTTCCAGAAGGAGATGAGAGCAAGTGACAGATAACTGGAAGGAATAACACTTCCATACGCTGTGAAAGGGAACATACATTCAGTTCCAGGAAGTACAGAGAGTCCTAAACAAGAAGAATCTAAAGGGGTCCACATCAAGATACATTATAATAAAAATGGCAAAAATTAAAGATAAAGAGGGAATCTTAAAAGCAGCAAGAGAAAAACAATTAATTATGTACAAGGGAACCCCCATAACACTCACTTTTCAACAGAAACATTACACCCCAAATAAGTGGCATAATATATTAAAGCAGTGAAAGGAAAAAACTCTTCAACCAAGAATAGTCTACCTAGCAAGGCTTTCATTCAGTTTTGAAAGAGAGAGAGATTTCTACAGATCAACAAAAGCTTCAGAGTTCAGTACCACTAAGCCAGCTTTGCAAGAAATGTTAAACCATGTTCATGCATGTTCAATTATGTCCAACCCTGTGACTCCATGGACTGTAACCCACCGGGATCCTCTGTCCATGGAATTTTCCAGGCAAGAATACAGGAGTATTCTTGCCTGGAAAAGACAAGACTCCAGGGAATCTTCCCAACCCAGGGATTGAACCCACATCTCTTGTATCTCCAGGGTGGGCAGGTGGATTCTTTACCACGGTGTCATAAGAGATGTTGAAGGGGCTTTTTTAAGCAGAAAAGAAAAGACTACAAGAAATATAAAAATTATGAAAGAAAAAATTCCATTGGTCTCATTGGTGAAAGCAAACAAACAGTATAGATAGTAAATCAATCCCTTATAAAGCAAGTAACATGATCTAAAAACAAAAGTAATAGGATAATCTATATCCACAATAAGTAGTTAAGGGATATGCAAAACCAAAATTATAAAATATAACATCAAAATAATTAAACATGGAAGGGAGTGTAACAGTAGGGTTGTTACAATGTGTTACAACTAAAGAACTCAGTAACTTAAAATAACTATATATTAATATATATGATCTGTATCTATTTATATTATCTATTTATCTAACTATCTATCTATCTACCTATCTATGTTGTTATATATGAACCAAAGACCATGGTAACCACAAACCAAAAACCTAAAATAGATACACAAAAAAAGAAAGGAATATAAACATAACACTAAAGGTAGTCATCAGATTCCAAGAGAAGAGAACAAAATGAGAAGAAAGGGAAAACCATAAAAACAACCTGGAAACAATGAACAAAATAGCAATAAAAAACATCTCTCTCAATAATCACTTTAAATATAAATGGACTAAATGCTTCAATAGAGAGACATAGAGTGACTGAGTGGATACCAAAAAATCCTACCCTATTCCATCCAAAGCAACAGGATACAGAGATGTGCTCTAAGAGGTTTTGCCCTTGACAATGGGTGTGTATGTGCTTTTTGATCAGGTCAGGAAAAAGAGTGGTGGAAATAGTGTGGATTGGAGCCACCTTGGCTGGAGAATGGGGAGGGGTGTGGACTTGGGGATGGGGTGAGGAGGAGAGAGTCTGCAGGCCTGAAGGAGGGATTAGGATTGGGGGTAGCCGTGAGAAGAGAGTTCCCTGGGCAGCTGGACCCATATAGGGTAGGCCTGT